TATAAATTAATATACAAAAAAAATATTATAATCACTTAATGTTATTAAAGGGAAAAAAAACAAAACTGAAATTTATTAGATAATTATTAACTAAAAAATGTGACCACAAATTAAAAAATTAAAATGGATAAATTTGTCAATAAAATTAAAAAATTCTAATCCACTAGCGGTTTGGTACAAAAAGTTACATAAACTAGTTTTTTCAATCCGCTAGCGATTTGGACCCTAACCGCTATCCGCTAGTTTAAAACCGCTAAATAAAAATTTTACCAAACACTTTAATTGTAGCGGTTTCGAAATATATAAATTTATCAAACACCTATATTTAGCAGTTTAAGTAAAACCGCTAACCACTACCTCAAAACCGCTATACCAAACGGAACCTAAATAAATTATTAATGATATATATATTTTTATCGATAAAAAATGATATATTTTTTTACTTAATAAAATTTGTAATATTATATGAATGAATTAATTATTCATTTCAAATTACATATTAAAAATATAATCTTAACACTAAAATTACTAGATTATCATTAATATTATATTTTAAAAAACTTTAGAAATTTTAATATCAACACTTTCATTCATTCTTAATTTATAGCAGAACAGGAAAAATGGAAAATACATTTTGTTTATTTTTTTGTCAAAACTGGCGGAAATTATAAAAATTTGGCGCAGGCAAAATTCATGGGAAGGGAAGAGCAGCGCCGTCATTGAAAATTGACCTCTGCATCTCAGGCAAGCCATAGTTATAGTTCCTCTTCCCTGGGAGATCTCCGTCGATTTCGTTTCTTCCCCAATTTTCTTTCAATTAAACCCAGAACCCTAATGTGACGCAGAGTTTACAACGACGACGAAGAACTTCAATCCCTTTGCATTCGCATCCATTTCTTCTCCTGTTTCCCCTAAAACCCTCCACCAAAACCACTCAATAATGCTTTCCATCAAATATGTAGCCAAATCTGCTGGTTCCCTCCTGTCGCGCGATGCCCACTTCTGTTTTTACTCTTCTCTGCTCCTTGCTCGCCCTCCCATCAGCTCCGACGTCCCCAAGTTGAATGCCCAGGACATTGTGGCATCCTTCAAGTCGTGGTTTAAGGCCCGGGAATCGTCAGTGGCTGATCAAATCTTCACCATCTTGACCGCCAACGAATCCACCCAGGACGGCGTTACTTCCACCCACCACGACGCTGACATCGCCCTTGCCCAGTTAAATCTGCGCCTTACAGAGAAGCTGGTCCTCGAGGTCCTCTCCCATGGCGCCTCCTGCAAGGACGTTTTGCCTTGTCTCAAGTTCTTTGACTGGGCTGGCCGGCAGCCTGGGTTCTGCCATACCCGCAGCACCTTCTATTCCATCTTCAAGATTCTTTCTAGGGCCAAGCTCATGTCTTTGACGCTTCAGTTCCTGCAAGATTTTAAGACTCACAGGCTTATTCCGAGCATCAGGTTTCATGAAACTTTGGTGATGGGTTATGCTATAGCGGGGAAGCCAGATGTTGCACTCCAGCTGTTCGGCAGAATGCGGTTTCAGGGTCTGGATTTAGATCCCTTCAGCTACCACGTGATATTGAATGCCTTTGTGGAGGAGGGCTTCTATGACGCCGCGGATATGATTTCTCAGCAGATTTCTCTGCGGGGTTTTGATTCTGATGTTACGTATTCCATCAAGGTTAAGAGCTTTTGCAAACAGAGTAAGTTGGAGGAGGCACAGAGGTATATACTGAAACTGCTGGAAAGTGGAAAGGAAATTGGTGGGGGTGTCGTGAGTGTTGTTGTGGATGCGCTTTGCAAGCACAAAATGTTCGAGCGGGCAGGGAGGTTAATGGAGGAACATAAGGAACGTTGTATCCCAATGGAGCGTTCTTATGGGATATGGCTTAGGAACCTCACGCAAGCTGGGAAGATAGATGGGGCTTTGGAGTTTCTAAGGAGCAAGAAGCAATTGGAAGGATATGTTCCAGAGGTGTTCCGGTATAATTATTTGATTTTTAGGCTATTGAGGGAGAACCGACTTGAGGATGTGTGTGATTTGTTGATAGAGATGGAGGAGAATCAAATTTCACCTGATAAGGTCACTATGAATGCTGTATTGTGTTTCTTTTGCAAGGCTGGGATGCTGGATGTTTCAATTGAGTTGTACAATTCCAGGTCAGAGTTTGGACTCTCGCCAAATACCATGGCTTACAACTATTTGATCAATACCTTATGTGGATATGGGAGTGTTGAAGAAGCTTATAAAATGCTCAAGAATTCTATTCACCATGGTTATTTTCCTGGGAGAAAAACATTTTCTATTCTTGCAGATGCTTTGTGCAGTGCAGGTGAACTTGATAAGATGAAAGAGCTGGTCTTTTTTGCTTTGGAGCGGAAATTTGTTCCTAGTTCTTATATATGTAACAAGTTCATAGGAGCTCTGTGCCGATCTAGAAGGATGGAAGATGGATATTTGATTCATGGGGAACTTAATAGAATTTTAAACAAAAGCATTGGAAAGAACTATTACTCTAACTTGATACATAGTTTTAGCGAATCAAAAAGAGGAGATATTGCTGCCAGATTGCTAATTGAAATGCAGGAGAGGGGTCACAAGCCAGTTAGGAGATTATTTAGAGCTGTCATTCTCTGCCTATTTAAGATGGAAAATCCCCAGAGGCAATTCTTCAGGCTGCTTGAGATGCAATTGTCTCACCATGGACCCAGTGCTGAGATTTATGACTTCTTTGTTGACGGAGCAGGACATGCCAAAAGGCCTGAGCTAGCCAGAGAAGTATATGAAATGATGTGGAAGAGTGGTATTGAGCCCTCTTTAAAGTCTGACATCCATATGTTGAAGGCCTATCTAAATAATGGAAGAATTGCTGATGCTTTGAACTTCTTTAATGATTTGTGCCAGAGAAGAAAGATTGGAAGAAAATTGTATGATGTGATTGTTGTTGGGTTATGCCAATCCAACAAGCCAGATTTTGCCTTGGACGTCATTCAGCAAATGAAGGATCATATGTTAGTTCCTAGCAAGGAATGTTATGAAGTCCTTATACAGCTATTATGTCGCAGTGGTAATTATGATTTGGCTGTAAATCTTGTCAATGACTTTGAGAAAACCAGGCATCGTATTACAACCTTTACCGGAAATGTTCTCTTGTTGCATGCTTATAAAAATAAAAAGCTTTACGAGACTTGGATTCAGATGAGAGATATGCAAGATGAGACATCCAATGTTTCATTGTTGGGACTGCTTATCGGGGTATTTTCTGGTTGTATTAGGGTCCCAAATTTTGAGAACTTGGAAGAAATGATTGAACAGTGTTTCCGTCCTGACATCTACACTTATAATTTGTTGTTGAGAAAATTATGCAGAAGTGAGATGGATCAAGCTTGTGAATTGTTTGATCGGATTTGTCAGAAGGGGTATGTGCCTGATCAATGGACTTATGAAATCATGTTAAATGGTTTCCTCAACCATGGGGGAAGAGCTGAGGCTAAAAGATGGGTGGAAGAGATGTCAAGGAAAGGTTTTGGTCAAACTAGGAGGATTCTGTTGTCAGTTTAACAGGTTACTGGTAGAGCCATATTTTTTATATTCATCAGTAGCTAGAAATTATTACATTAACTGTGTATTACAAGGACTATTTTTTGAGAAATAAAATAACATGTTTGGTGCCTTAATTTTATTGATTAAACCAAATATTTTATCATTTTAAAATTAAATTTAACCAAAAAAAAAAGAGGTGCAATTTAAATTCTTGAATGGAACTGAATTTGGTTGTTTTTCTTTACTACCGTGCTTTTTATTTGAGCCATAAAGTTCTTTGTTTAGCTAGCTATACATTATATCCTTTACATTTTCTTTATTATTGTTACTAATATTAAAATTCTTTTGCACTGCATGGGCAAACTTGTGGGATTATCACAGGACTGGTTGTAGGAAGCAAACTACTAGACTCTTATGGTGGTCTAGGAATCATGAAAATAGGGTTCTCACTTTTAGGATATTATGGTTCTAGTCCCAACTATGAAATTCTGATTTAAAGAGTCCACATCAGTTTTTTCTATGAATAAATGCTGATTCTAGCTTGCCACATCTGAAAATTTTAACGGAGACTAACATTTCTGTCTATTTTGGAGATATTTGCTAATGTTTGTAAGTTCAATGTGGATTTGCCACCAAAGTTCCATAAAGGGTTTATTTGCTGGTGAACAATATTTTGGGGGGCTAATTTGCCTATTTTTCCATTAAAAAGGGGTTTTTGTGGTCTTATATTCAAGTTGAGCCTCACCACTTATTGCCCATTGGTCTTATAGATTGGATGCTTTAACCAACTGGAAATTTTCAACTAATGGTACCAAAAGGCAGAGATAATCCGATTTGGATCTTGAATGTTGATTTAAGAGTAAACTTAGCTTTTGCAATAGGGGTTTACCACCAATATTTTGTCAGGCCTCACAAGTGAAAATAGCACCTGACTTTGCCCATCTAATTCTTGACATCATTTTCTTTCCTATTGCTTCTTTTCTCCTTTCCTTTCAATTTTAAGATTTCCCTCTCCTGGCATGTTATGTGACATCATTGGAGATAAATTTTCTTTGGTGAGTTTGAAAGATAGAGGATGTCTTCAAACTAAAGTTGTGATGTACTTAATGATCAAGAAGGACAACTAGGGTATCTAAAGAGCTTGTAGCAGGCGGCATGCCTTTCTAGCTTTCTTTGAGTTGATCTTTGGGTGACTGCCAAGTGCCAATCTCAGTTCATTTCCATTTCCTAGAAAATTAAAATCAATGGCACTTTAGCTTTATGTTCTCTGTTTGGCTGCTAGTCTTTGATTTTTTTTTTTTTTTTTTTTCTCTGTTTGGCTGCTAGTCTTTGATTTTTTTTTTTTCTTTTTATGCTGCATTGTTGACAATTCGTTAATAAACTCTGGTAGAAAATCTCTTGATTAGATGTTATGCTACCATTTAACCTTTTCTATGATTTTCATCCAGCTTTTTGTTAGGATTCAACTTATCGCATGTCGATAATTATGATTTTGTTGTTTCGTAGTTCAGTTTTTGTTACCTTCTCTTTACTCCTTTATCAAACTTCATTTTTAACCATGATGTCAGTTCTCAAATTAGCTAGTATGTGGTATTCATGTTGATGGTGATATTTTGTTCATTGAGTCACCTTTTTTGCTTTCAGATTGTGTAGCAATGTGTCTCTTCGGTAACAATTATCAGAAGGATTTAAAATTTTATCTGACAGTACTATATAATGCATGAGTGTTTCAGTGTGGATTTTACCCTAGATTTTGATAAAATCTGTTATCAGAATGCAAGAACTACTGTTCCAGTTATGATAATAATGCTTTGAATCAGTTTTCATATCTAACAGTGGGATTTGATCTCCATGCCTCATTTGTATACATCAGTGTATTTCAGTTTTATGAAAAACTGGAATGTTTCGGCCTATGTCAATCACCTAAGATTGCAGATCATATTAACTTTGTGTGATGATTTTGATGGAATGAGAAGTATTATTTATTAGTAATTTGGAGATTTGGTAACCATCATGAATTCATGTCTTGGCAATTTTATTGAGCTTATAATTTTTTTTTTTTTAATTTAGTGACAAGTGTGTTTCTGGTTTAACTTGCATATACTTTCAAATTAATCTCTCCTTTATCTGGTTAAAAGTAAGTCATATGGATATGAAATGGTGCAGAAATGAAAATCTGAACGTAAGAAATGAGTTGAGTTTAGTTTGTTTGAGACCAACTTTCCTCCGATGGTGCAGAAGATATGAGATGCTGCATTGTACTGTGCAATGTGAATCCTTGAAGTTAATGCTAGAATCGAAGTTTTGATGCCCGTGAGTACTAGTTTAGCTAAGCTCTTCTTTACATTTTTATTTTTTCATTATTTTCACACAATAATAAAGAGGAATACAGGGGAGTGATTTCAAGAAAAATAAAACATAATCAAGAATGTATTGCACAATTTAAACAATTATTAATTTCTAAATTCCCTACAACCTAATCAATGAAGAGTAATTCTTCCTTCTCCAATCTGATTCACCTAAAAAATGAAAATAAATAAATAAATAAATAAACCCACAAGTTTACAACACCAACCATAAACCATCTCATCCACACACCATTAACATCCATTTCTTCTGGTTTTCTAAATTTATTTGAAACCAACTGTGATATTCACAAGTAACAACAAACATGAGTCTTTAATGAACACAACAAAAACATTTGAGAGATTGCTTCTTCTTTGCGCGAACAGGACTTTTAGCTGAGCTTGCATTCCTTGGTCTTTCACAGATGCCAAAACTGCAGTCACAGAAGATAAAAGAGATCCTTCACAATCATTTCAGTATACATGACTCAACAAAGATTTCCTAAAGGGAAACTACCACTATTTCTATTAACTTGAAGCTGTTTCAAAGGGAAGAGAGGACAAAGGAGAAATTTAAAGACGAATAAAGAGAAAATATGTTAAGGAATTGGCTTTACAGTTAAACATCCATTCTAGGCTAAGGGTGCTACTAGGAGAGAGAGAGAGAGAACCTCTATGGTTGATGACATTGTGCCATGCTTCCATGGGAGTCGCAAACATCATCGGATTTCTCGACTCCATCAGTCTCACTGACAGTATTCGATATTTGAACAGATCTTCTCACTTCATCTTCTTCAGTGATGCTATGCATGAACTCTCTATGCCCACTTCCAGAAGCTGACCCTTGCCCAGTTTCCATCTTACCATCTCCAATAATAGTGACTTCCACCAGTTCTTTCACATCTTGCTCATTAGCAATATATGGATCAAAAGCAGGTCTCCCTTCTTCCTCTTCCTTCAAATTTTCCTCCAAAATTTCCTCCAAATCATCATAATTTAAATTGCGCAAAATTTCAGGGAGTGGATAAGCACTATTTTCTCCATGCTTGCTTCCCATTTCAATGTCAATTTTCTCCTTTGAGCTACCATTATCCACCCCAAAGTTTGGAGTCACAGATCCCACCACCATATACTCATCTTCCTCTACAAATGATCGGAAACTATTCAATGAAGGTGGAATCTTGGAAAAAAATATTTCACCCAGATTTCTAATGGTTCCCTTGTTATATGGGTTATCCTTCTTATCATATCGATATCGAAAGTTCTCATATGTGGTCTGTCAAAAAGAACGATTACAAAATAAATATGGGATTTAATGAAAAAGAATAGTTAACCCAAAATAATTTTGGGAACTGAAAAAACAAGCTAAACAAGGAGTTATGTTTGTTCGGTGTAAATTCCCTCAATAGTAAAGGAAGCACTAGCAGCACCAGAATCAGTTCTCTATCTTTCTATTTATCATGGGAGCACTTCAACTTGGATATATTGATAGACAAAGAGAATACTCTGATTTATCTGTAAAATAAGAGATTTTGTGAAGTTACTCACCTGGTTCGCGCAAATCAAGTAGGAATGGAAAACCGTGAGGCCACCGACAAACCATACAGCTACAAAGCAGTAAACTATGAGAAAAACTGAGAGGGCATCACGTGACATAGCCCTCCAAATACTGACATGGCTGTCAATCTCCTTTTCGATGATGTTGATCAAAGAAAACACAAAGATATATATGCACAAGATGGTTGATGTAGATATGAACATAAAGAAGAACCGGTAGTTACGCTGCAATGAGAGAGGCAAGAGCAACATTACTTTCTGATGAGAATAACAACTTACGTCCATTTTAATTATAAAACATTTTAGAACATTTTAAGTACAAAAGAAAATAAAGCAATCCATCTAGAAATTATAGACCAGAAAGGGCTGCAGCATTATTTTAGAGTAATATCATTTGCAGTCATAACTTCACAGCATAGGCCCTTGGTCCTATATATAACTGAATGCAGTCACACATAAAATAATAAAAATCTTAAGTTTGCTACAGGAAGATAGAGACATGACATTCATAACAAAACAGAGTGCAGCTCCACATGGGATTTTTAGCTACGGTGGCGTTAATGGATGGTAAGTGGTAAGTATTAGTAATGCAAATAGAAACACTTATTTCTAACGAATAAGAAGAAAAGATGGCAGTGGATTTTACAGATACATAAAACCTCTAATATCCAATCAACAGAAAATACACAATGATAAATTAGTATTTACTTTTTCCTTTTTTTAAGGAAATTGGTTAAGTTCCATTCCTCTGTAATCCCAATAATGGGTGTCTGTACAGATTCACCTTGGCATACCAAGGATTACATCATACTGTAAGTACTTACGTTTGTTGTTCTAACAAAAAAACAATGTTTATTTATGACAAATTTTAATCTCTTCCCATTTAAAAAATTACTGCATATTTACCAGTCAATAAAAGCAATGTCTAGGAAATACTTTATGTTTACCAAATTTGCTTTTGCCCAAAAAAAAAAACAACAACATGGATGATGGATCCAAGTACATTGTGTCAGAGGAATTTAGTAGCTTCCTGTTTAGAAGAAAAATTGATTAATAAAATGAAGTGAAGTTCTACATTTTTATGCTTAAAAGGGAAAAAAACTCCCTTTAATACTCCTCCAATTCCTTTTACCATTACTCACAGCCTTGAACAATTGACCAGACCATACGGATATTTCTTTAATGCAACATAGGAATTAGAAAGGAACTCACCATTCCAATGCATTGACCCAGCCATGGACAATGATGATCAAATCTTTGAACACAGTTGTCGCATATTGAACAATGAGAAGCACGGGGAGGACGATACAGCAAACAAGTGTCGCAATACTTCACTTTTACTGAGTGGCCATTCACAATCACATCTTTTGTTCTAGGTAGTTTCAAATGAGGACTTCTACCATTGACCCACTCCATAGAAGGGGTAGGTTCATCAATTCCTTCATCTGCATCAGGAGGCCTTGAATTTCTAGGAATAATTCCAGGATCTCTACCAGAGGTCATAAAAAGAAATAGCAAATCCTGCCAAAATTGGTATGAACTTAATATCTCCTAGCATGGAACTCCAGTAATATGTCATAGAACTAGATAATACCCAAACTATAGGGGCAAAAAAAAAAAAAAAAAATTGAAGAGGCCATTCACACAACTAGCTACACATAAAGCATTTATCACAGAAATGAAAATTGGAAGGACAAGAAAAGGAGAGCTGAATGTTAAAGTGCTATGGAATAAATTAGATTTAAACAACAATCAATTTGTTCATGAATACAATAGACTCAGAAAAATCTAAAACAAAAGTAGCCTATTCCACAGGTTACTTACAAATTGAAAGAGGCATTTAATTCATATGTTGATCCTAATTGTCCTAACATTCCTCACTCACTCCTTTATACATTTAGGAGAAATGAAAACCCAAGGACAAAACCTATTAGCAAACCAACTGCATTATGTAATTCCTGTGTGGTGTGTTTTTAGTACCTACTGCCTCATCACTTATACGTGCTTTTTTATTGTTTTCTTAATGAACAATGGAATGAATGATACAGTTAGAAAGAAAAAATAATGAATAATTAGTAACAATTATCTTAAAATGTTAAATGAAAAGGTTATCTCAGTTGTTGTGTTATTCTTTTGGTTCCAAATCTCTTTGCTTTCCTCTTCAACATGAATTACAGGGGAAAAAAAAAAAAAAAAAATTCTTACCACAGCAGTGAGTATCAAGCCCACAATTAATATGGGATAACATTCCTGCACATGTTTGGTTCTCTTATCTTTGATCTTCATATACATCTTTATAAAGAAAACAACAGCAGGGGCAGCAATAAGGAACATGGAGAGAAACAATGATGCCGCATCAGGACCAAATATCAATCTCCCACCACAAAAGAATCTCTATTGCAACCAAAAGAAAAATTTAGATAGCATCTTTAGTAAAACATAACAAAGATAGGGAATTGCAATGCTAATACAAATTATTAACTAAGTTTGATATTTTAGAGAGCAAAAAACCAACTCCATAGTCTAACAATGGCCTAGATTAAAAAGACTTCCAACTGATCTAAAATTCTTAATATAAAACCATCATCATGTATGATGTAATATAACATAAACTTAAATGAAGTAGCAGCCTCTCTAGAGGTTTGTATTCTACTTGGAAATAAAATAGATTTAGATTCAAAATTTAAGAAAAACTGAAAAATTCTGAATCAATGGGTTTTTGTGTATCATCCAATATTTTTGATGGATTCCAACCAAAAGAAATCCTAAAGTAAGGGGTCAGCTAACAGCTAAGTGACACTGCAATCATACCGAGAATATTAAAGCCAGGGAAAGCTTCACTATCAATCTACAACTATATTCCTTTTAAGACATTATAATCACCCAACAACTAGAGGGCAAAGCGCCAAAACCCATGATCAAGGAAATGAAACTCAAAGAAATGACCCAAACCCATTATCATAATCTCCATATACTCTACAGAACAGAGCAAATTAGAAATGCCCAATTCAAAACATGACCTTTACAACAGGCAGATTGAATAGACAATACAACCATATTCGAAAAGAGACAGAACAAAGAGGGAGAGACTCACATTGCGTCCCTTCCAAACTTGATAAAGCCTCTTCGGTTTATCACTGTCATTCTGGGCCATAGCTCCAACTGAAGAAGAAGAAGCACCAACCATTACCATTCCCAACCCATAACACAACCAAGGCCTCTCCTTTTCCCCAAGGATTACCCAGAAATGAATCAATAAGCAACACAGAAATGGGATCAAAATCACAAATTTCCTGCGTTTATAGAGATAGAGACCCAGAAAAAGGAGAAAGAGGAAGAGGGTTTTAGAACAAAAACCAGCCCCCTCCCTGCTCCCCCAAAATGTTTGTTAATTACAACACAGACGGATTCTACAAAGACAAGAACATCTCTCTAAAAATCCCTCTTTAAAAAATCAAAGAAAAAAAAATTCCCCTAAAAAATTATAATTTAAAAAAGAAAATGAACTTTGTTTATTGTCCCAGTAATTGAAGGGTTTTCATTTGTCTTTCGCCTTTTCGCTGGCTACGAGTAGTTCGGAGCTGGCAGTTTCAATTCTCAATTCCTTGCTAACTTTTTTATTTTACGGGAATGACCCTCTCTTGAACCTTTCTTTCACATCTTAGTCTCTTTGTTAAGGTCCTTGAACTATAAGACATGATGATTAAGGCCCAAAAATAATGCTGAGATGCATGCAACCTCAAGTCCATGAATGCTAAAAATAAGGTAAATATATGAGCAAAAAACTGTTTTATAAGACAAACTATATATTAAAAATATAATTTATTTTATAAATTTATCAAAATGTTTTTAATAAATTATTTTTTATGTTATTTTAATAAAAATATTTTAATAAATTTAGAAAATGAATTGTATGTAAAGTCTATTTTGTAAAATATAAATCTCATATATGAGATAAGTGTTTTTTCTTTTTTCTTTTTTTGTGTGTAAAAACTGCACTTTTTTATGTAGTTTGAATACTAAAATTATTTTTTTAGTTTATGGATGATGGACTATATAATAGAGAATAATCATTCCCTTTTCAAACCCTTTCTCACATATTTTAAGATTCGAACTTGAGATTTTTAACATAGAAGCTCAAATTAAACATCCTTTAAGGGAGAATAGCATAGGAAAAGAAAATGTAAAGTCCATATTGCAAAATGTATTATGTAAAAGTCATGAGTTTGATTGGTTGTTTTTTTTATTATATGGTTTAATGTTTAATTAGAGTTTTTGCCAACCTAATCTTGAGCTTGTCTGCTTTAGAATTTTTGTATTGAAAAACATATTTATGTAAATTTATATGGAGAGACTTGAATTTAATTGGTTTGTTTCTTGATATATGGTTTACTTAGAGTTTGGACAACCCAATCTCCCTAATGTCAACAAATGAGGAAAAAACTTGCCTATATATATAAGATACAAAGAATACAAATGCAAATATATACAATACAAAATTGATAACTTAAAGCACAATGCAAGAAAAACCTGAAAAGGTTTTATGTATACAGAACTCAAACCTATGAGCTCAAAATTATGAAATCTTAGCCTCTAAGTTTGAAACCAATCAAACATTAAGGCAATGAATTAATGGAGCATATGAGGTTGCAAGAGCTCATCATTCATAAAACCAACGATATATCGTCTTTTTTTACTAAAGAATTGGGTGTCCAACTGTCCAAACAAATGGTGCTAACCTGTCACAAGCCAACTCATTTTCTTAATTTGTCTGTTTACCAAACACCTACTAACAAGTAACAAAGATGGATTGAATTGGTTAACCAAATTTATTACCATCTGGATTTGTAAATAATATCTTACCTAGTTTTTTTCCTTTTTTTCCTTTTTTTACATTATATTATCTTATCCTTTCATTATGTCCCAACTGAAAATCCTAAATAATCATTTTAAAAGACTCGAGTGCATTTTTTTTCTTGAAATATAAAAATTAAGAAAAAAAAATTGAGCTGGACCAATCACAACCCAACAGCTTGTGGGTTGTGGCTTGCGGCTTGCCGTGAGCACATGGCACTACCCTTTGAATTATTTTTAAATCATTTATTATTTAAACACTGTATTAGATTGTTTAAATAAGTATTTATCAATTGTGTAAAAAATAAAAAATAATATACTTATAATATTACATGATAATTTAAATTTATACATAATACATTGTTATATAATTAACTTTTTTTACCGCAAGATTTATTTATAATATTATACGTATTTACTCATTTGATAAAATATTATAATTATTTAATGATATATCATAATTATAAATTTATAATTTTATAATTTTATATAGTATTATATTATAACTGTAGCATTATTGCGTAAAAAGTATCCTAAAAGTATATAGTTTAAAAAAATACAACACTATAAAATAACATTTTCAATGTAAGAATTGAAATTATTTTAGTATTTTCCTATACCACTTTATTAAAATTATTTAATTTCAAAATATTTTTAGACTTATTTTTTTTTGTTCTTGCCCAATAAATATTTTTCTTTATCAAAATATTGCAAGTTAAAATGTTACTAACACTTTTATTGTACCACATATAACAAAAAAAAACATTTTATTGTGCTATTTAAGGTTTTATAGGGTTGGGTCTTCAAAATCCTATAATTACCCCATGAGCCGAATCCTTAAATCTGTCCGTAAAGATAGGTCCACTCTTGAAAAAAACAGTAATAAATTATCTTTTTAAATTTTTAATTAAAATAA